GGGTTTAAGCCCCATTAGAATTTTCAAAATTCTAGAGCTAAACTAAAATTCCAGAGCTAACCTGAGTAAAATGTTTATAAAACTGCTCAGCTGCTGGAAAATACTGTTTAATGTTATTTTAAAGCTGTCTCAGTGTGACATATAAATATTACATTTAGTTTTTCTGTCCTGGTGCTGTCCCACAGAACTCTACTGTCTTTGGTGAATGAAGTGCTCTTCGTAGGGCTGAACGGGAGACAGTAGCYATGTTTACATGGACAWATTTTTTGATCGGATTGAAACGTATTCAGATTAAATAATCCGAATGTACTGTTTACATAGCCACAATCYGATCATGACAAGTGTTTACACCACCAGACGTTTGTTCAGAATAAAAGTCCGGACATGTGCAGTGTTGTAAACATTCAGCTCAGCATCCGTGTTTCAAAGGTAAACTTAACGACTTACGTCCATGTAAACATAGCTAGTGAGTTTTTAATCTTCACGTTTCGTCGCCTTAAAATAATTAATTTAATACAGAAACATCTGCCACAACAAAAACRAACTTWAAGGTACCTTCGTGTTTGGTTTCCTTTCTGTCCTGATCTCTGGAGGTTCGGGAAGTCCAGTCAAGTTGAAAAAGATGTTACTCTRGTTCAGTTCAAACATAATTCAGTACAGATTGCCCCAATAATAATAGCCATAATATAAAAGTAGCCAAAGGCCTGAAATAGCTGCAGGTGCAAATATTTCTGTAAATGTTGGATGAAGTTCCTCTTCTCTTAAATATACGGGCGTTATATTCCTTCTGCGAGGTTTGCGATTTCTCATTGATTTCATGTATCTTTTTCTTTCTGCATCCATGTCWCGTGTCTCCTCCAGTGCTGGTTTTATCTCCCTACTTGCTGTGTTCATGATTTGAAGTCCTTTTGATTAAAAAGTTCAAAAATGCTTTGAATTATGGTCTTTATCTCCAAGCTATGTAGCTTTTATGCAAATKTCTTGAACTAAATAGACAGGGCGAGCTGTGACGTCACAGTGACGTACATTTCAATTTTCTTTTTAAAAAAGGGGGCGGGGCTTAAACTGCGCAGCGCTAACCTGCGTAAACTCCGTTTATAATAACACTGTTCAACGGCTGGAAAATACTGCCTATTGTTRTTTTAAAGCTGTCTCAGTGTGAAATATAAATATTACATTTAGTTTTTCTGTCCTGGTGCTGTCCCACACAGCTCTTCGTAGGGCTGAACGGGACAGTTTTTAATCTTCACGTTCCGCCGCCTTCAATGAATTAATTTAATGAATTTAGATCAGATTCAATCTCCTCATTTATACCAGTGCTTCTGTTAGTTACCAGTTGTTACAAACAGAACAGAAACACCAGCAACAAGAAAAACTAACTTAAAGGGACCTGTTGGTGTTTAGTTTCCTACCTGTGMTGTTCTCTGGAGGTTCGGGTTTTGTCCAGGTCGATGGTTCTCCCAAACTTTCAGAGTATTTCTCCAGCGGAGTTCAGTCTCCGGCTCAGAGAAGARYAGAGGACAGCTTAACTRAAAATACTCCATGTTTCTGCTCACAGATATGACACAAGCTAACTAAGCTAGCAGCTAGCTGCGGAGGTCACGTGACCCGGTGGATTTCTTCTTCCACTGTTTGATCAGCAGAGTGATTGATGGCCTCCACCTCCTGCTGAAGCAGCTTCACATCTTTCTCTCTGTCCTGGATCTCCTGCTGGATTGTTTCTCGTCTCACCTGGAGCTCTCTCTGCCTCTCAGCTCTTTCTGCTGCAGCTGAGACTGTGTCGTGG